CTCTATGAGAAAGAGAAAAATAGTGGAATCAAATTTGTTAAAGAGAGAAACTCCAATGAAATGGAGCAAAAGAATCAGCTAAATGTTGAAATCTCACCTCACATAGAAATAACTTTTCTTACCTTGCATAGCATCTTGATTTTGATCTTTCTGTAAATTCTCCATGAAGAGCAGCTCTTGAGAAGCTTTGAATGAATCTTTCCCCTCGTTAGAATACTCAGTCATAGTTTCCACGTATTTCTGGACATGATGTGACATGAGAAACAAAGGAAGAGCACAGAGATAGAAATGAATTATCATACTACATCTTCAAACTAGCAGACCCCAATGCCCATTGCTGAAACAAAATGGAAGAATTACCCCAAATACATCCTCTGGAAGAATAGAACAAATGCCCTTAGGAATTAATAATCCCAGAAAATTCTGCCAAAAAGGAGTTGTCAAATTCAAAGAGATCCTCTTTAGAACTGCCCTGATTCCATTCTCCCACCTGCAACTCTTCCTGCATGTTTTCCTCCTCCTGAGTCAGCAAGAAGCCTTCAGCCAGGGACACCGCCTGGGAACTGGTCTCTGCTCCACACTCCCGCACCCATCTTGCCATCTCTGGGGGAAAGACAGCCAGCAATTGTTCCAGGAGCACCAGGTCCAGCATCTGAGCCTTGGTGTGTTTTTCTGGTTGCAGCCACTGACGACAAAGGTAGTGAAGCTGAGTGCAAACATCTCGGGGACGGCTCCCCTCCTGAAACTGCACTTTTGTGAAGTGACAGCATTGGGCCTCTGAAGTGTTGGATGCCTCTTCGTGGCTCTTCTGCCCAGGACTTGCCCCATTCTTCCCACAGCTCCAAGGCTGAGCAGTTGGAAGGCCTTTTCTAACTTCTGCATCTGCTGGGTGTTGTCCCTCCATCTTCTGTCTAATCTTCAATACAGCTCCAAAATGCACCCATGGATCTCCACAGGTCTTTCTGTTCACAAGAGGTCTGGCCAAATTTTCCAAGGCCATTCAGCTCTCTTCCCAGACAAGATACTTAAGATTCCAGAAGAACCAGAAAAAAATTCCAGCTTAATCAAAAACAAAATCAAAGATTTATTGGAGAAAAACATGAAAATAAAAAAAAAAGTGGTTGCAAGCGCGGCCTCTTAGACTCTTCCTAAATGGATTGAGTTCAGAGCACAAAAAGCAGTTTTCAAGCTATACATTTTATACACCTTCACAATGCACGCCAGGAGCCCTCCCAACTCCCCCTTATTCTCTTAAATGCATCCTTTAAGTTGTTTTACACTTTAAAAGGGTTTTCTTGACAATTTCCCTCCATCTCTGATGTTCCTGCCTCCTGATAGCTTTTTGCTGAAGGCTTAAGTTCCTGTTTCCTGAAGACCTCTTAGCAAGTCATAATGCATTGTCTCCACTAATTACCATTTGCGGTCACTTTACATAGTCAGAAAACAGCAGACAGATAATCTCACACTTTACTATTTATAAAAGAATAAACTTTATTTATTTCCTTTAAGGGATATTAATGTCTATCAAAATATTGGAAAAATATATTTAAATATGTTTTTGATTTCTAATTCCTAGTTTTTATTAAAATTTAATTTTTTATTTTTATGTCTTCTGTATTAGCATTACTATAAATTACTCTAGGCAGCAATTATACATAATGCTCCTTCTTACTATTTCCCCCACAACAGCCCTGTGAAGTAGATTGGGCTGAGAGTTGGGATGGGCTCAAGGCTTTCATGCCAAAGGTTGGACTAGAAAGTTAATCTCCTGCTTTCAAAGCCTTGTGCTTTCATCACTTAACGAAATGGCTCTCTCTGGCGAACTATAATTTTATCATTTCTATGGCTTCATAGTTAAGAGCAACCATTTGCACAATTCAAATCATAAACGTCCCAGGTCACAAATAGCAATGGACATGAGGTGCTCCGTAAATCCACTTAATAAGTAAGTAAATAATCAATGGATTGCAACATCCAGGCTTTACAAAGGCGAAACTTGACAAAAATACTGGCCTATTTTGGGACATAGTGACAATGAGGCATCTTCCTTCTTTACCTGCAGGCAGAGGCAGCTGGTGACTGGGGGGGAAAGGTGGGAAAGCAGGAAATTGTCCCGGGGAAAAAGTCTGACTTGGAGGCAGAAATCTCTCTTTTGCAAAGGCGACCTCTCCTCCTCCCCCTCCCGTGCAGAGGTTTTCCCATCCAAATGGAGGGTAAATAAATGGCTCCCTCCTTTCTGAGGCCCTGGCTTTCTTCTCTCTAGTCTAAGGGCAACGGGAAGGATCCGAAGCTTTGCTTTCTCCCCTGCCTGGCCTGTGCATGCATAGGGGCGGCAGGGGAACATGGGACCACTGCTCCCCCCACCCCCATCCCAGGACTCCGAATCTGGTGCAAGTTTTGCATGTCTCCATGCGAGTCTCCATCACTGAACCCCCAACTCACGTCTGGGTCTCGGACGGTGCAAGAATTCCCTGCAGCCTCTTCCCTTCGCTAGAAAGGCTCACAGCGAGGGAGGGAGTGGGGGGAGCAGAATCGGAAACCGTAGAAAAAGCGGAGCAGCTTTCAAATCGCTGCTGGAAAATGCCTCGGGAAGCATGCAGCCCGCGCATGCTCAGTTCTCCTGTAAGGGGGGGAGCTGCACCGGTTTTCCAGGGAACCCCCTGGAGGATCCTGTGAGCATTGCATGAAGACCCTACAAAGGCGCAGGACGTCATGTTCCATGCGGGTCTGGGATGATGGGCATTAAACTTGAAGGAAAGGTTCCCTCTAACATTGCCTATCTAGAAAGGAAGTGGCCTCTCCAGCAGGCGTCAGTTTCTAGATTTTCCCTCTTTTTAATCTCTAAGAACCGTCTGTGATCTTGTGAAGATTGAGAAAATCTCTGTGGAGACTCAAAAATCCCTTTCCTGAAGAGCAGCTTCTCTGAAGGGTCTCCAGGGATTCCCAGGAGACGACCTCAAAAATGAGCAAAATCCTGTCAGAAATGGCAGGGCGGTCAAAAGACAAGGAAGAAAAGTCCCTCTATGAAACCCAGCCTGTGTCTTGTGGCTGATGGCAAATTCAGCCTTGAAGTGAGGGGAGATCAGGGAGCTGGCAGAGACACAGGGAGGAAAGCGACAGGTTGAGGAAATTTAAGATTTGTATTGATTTTTCTTTAGTGAGTTCAATTATTACAGCTTCCTTTTCAAATTCATGCCTATGGGCAATCAAGGAGGATTAGAAACAGCAAAGGCAGTTTGTAATGGTGTGAATAATCCTGAAGTATAGATCCTGATGAAAAAAAGGCATCAAAAGAAAATTCCCAAAATGGAGCGAAAGCTCAAACTTCTGGACCTTTGCAATTTTTTACCTCAAAACAAGCCACCATGATGGAGAAATGAAGATTGGGAGAATAAAGTCTCATATGTGACTAAAGAAAAAGTAGAATTACAAAAAGAACGAAGGCAAATACTGTAAAGTAAATATAAAGCTCAAATACTACAAGGCAAAAAAAAAAAGAGAGACATGAATAGTTTTATTTTGGTGTTGAGTAGGGAATATGCTTCAGGAAATTTTAGTCGGAACCTTAAGGCCTTTGGAGTAAAAGAATATTTTTTTCTAGCCAAAAGTATTGAAGATTTCACTGGCTTTATAAAGTGGTACTAATACTTCACAATTTTTGATTCTGTGCCTCTGTTTATGCAACCAAGGATTTTTTGCTGGCTGATATTTAAGTGATTGTCCACCAGGACTCCAAGTTTTATCTCACAGTTACTGTTTTTGAGCTAGGTTTCACCTAATCTATACTTGTACCCTTCTCCTTTTTTTTTTTTTTACTTAAGTGTAAACCCTTCTCTCCACATTAAATTTCATTTTCTTGGATAAAGCCCATTGTTCATGTTTGTCAAGATCTTTTTGGATTCTGAACATGTCTTGTGGGGTGTTGGCTATTCCTGCCAGCTTAGTGTCATATGCAAATTTATGAGTTCCCCTTCTATTCCCTCATTTAAGTCCTTTACGAAGATATTGAAGAGTACTGGGACCAAGACAGAACCTTGTGATACTCTACTGCTTACTTCCCTTCATGTAGCTGTAGTACCATTAAGGACTACTCGTTCAGTACAGCTTGTTATCCAATTACAAATTCATCTAGTGGTGATGATGTCTATCCCACATTTTTCCAGTTTACCAAGAAATAGGTTGTGGTCTACTTTGTTGAATACCTTACTGAAATCTAAATATACTATGTCCATGGCAGTGGTGGGTTTCACTTACCTTTGCTACTGGTTTGCTCGTGTGCAAACTTCTGCACATGCCCAAACTGGGGCAAACCAGTAGCAACCCACCACTGGTCCACAGCATTTTTCGCTGGTCTACTAATTTAGTCTCCTTGTCAAAGAATAAAATGTTGAAAAATAAGGAAGTAAGTTAAATGAATGAAGAAAGGAGGGGGAAAATGTGGACGATCAACTTATAGGATAGAGGGAATGAAAGAAAGTAGAAAATGAATGTTAAATAAGTTAATACTAAAATATCTGTAAATATTGATATATAGAAAGGATCACTGCATACAGCCGAAAAGAAAGTGATATTTTCTCTTTTTTTGTTTTTATTTTTTATTTTTCTTCTATAAATGTTGTAGGTCTATTTTGTTTTTAATGTGTTTAAAAGAAAAAACTTTTTTAAAAAAATAAAATGTTTTGGCATGATCTGTTTTAACAAACCCATACAGGCTTTCTGTGATTTGCAAGTATGATGATCTACACATCCCAGAGCCAGTTATCCTGACCTCCATCTGTCTATTTGTCAAGAGAAACTGAAGTTAGTTTCTGAATATGACCCCAGGACACTGCAATTGGCATAAATAGGAACAAGTTGTCAAGCATTTGATCATGTGTTCATGGGGATGGTGAAATGCAGGGGTGACAAACTCAATTTCATTAAGGGCCATATCAGCATTATGTCCTCGATTTTCTACAGTTCATATAATGATTATTCAAAGTTATAGAAACACTGAAAAACATGATTTCTGAACTTTTTTCGCACTTATGAACAACATCCCGATGGTCACCTGACCCAATTTCAGATGCATGGCAACTGATTCATGACAGCTGCAGAATTCCTGGATCATGTGATCATCTTTTGTGAGCTTCTGAAAAGCAAAATCAATGGGGAAGCCAGATTCATTTCACAAGTGTTACTAACTTAACAATTACAGTGATTCAGTTAACAAATGTGGCAAGAAAACTTGTAATATGGGGCAAAACACAGTAAGTCTCTCACTTAGCAACAGAAATTTTGGGCTCAATTGCAGTCATTATGTGAGGACTACCTGGATTTCTCTTGGGAGTTCTATCACACTTCTTTTATTGATATGGTTTCTGCCCTGTTTGGATCCTCTTGTGGGAATTAAGACTATTGCTATAAGTAAAGGTCTTTCCACACTCCATTCATTTATAAGGTGTTTCTCTTTTGTGATTCCTTTTATGGGTTTTAAAAGAATAATGGTAACAGAAGGTCTTTCCACACTCCATGCATTGATACGGTTTCTCTCCTGTGTGGATCCTCTTGTGGGTATTAAGATTACCACTCTTCCTAAAACCCTTTCCACACTCCATGCAATGATATGGCTTCTCTCCTGTATGGATCAAATTGTGGGATTTCAGACTACTGCTACAAGTAAAGGTTTTTCCACACTCCATGCATTTATAAGGTCTTTCTCCTGTGTGGATCCTTACATGTCTTCTAAGAGAGTGATTATAAGAGAAGGTCTCATCACACTCCCTGCATTGATATAGTTTCTCTCCTGTGTGGATCCGCTTGTGAATATTAAGATAAGTGTTACGAGTAAATGTCTTTCCACACTCCATGCATTGATATGGCTTCTCTCCTGTGTGGATCCGCTTGTGGGTATTAAGATGAGTGCTACAAGTAAATGCCTTTCCGCACTCCATGCATTGATATGGCCTCTCTCCTGTGTGGATCCGCTTGTGGGTATTAAGATGAGTGCTACAAGTAAAGGTCTTTTCACATTCCATGCATTTATAAGGTCGTTTTCCTGTGTGGATCCTTTGATGTCTTATAAGATAGTGATTATAAGAGAAGGTCTTTCCACACTCCATGCAGGTAAACCGTTTCTCTTCTGAATGTGTCTTTTTATGAGAAATGAGATTATTGGATTTATTGAACCTCTTTCCACACTCCATGAATTTATATGGTACTTCCTCCTTATCGATAACTGTATGGTTAAGAAGCCAGCTGACCCGAGGAAGACTTTTTTTAATTCCACTTTGTGATTGATTTGTTTCATCCCTTTTTGGTTGCATCTGATCTACAAATTTCCTTTTCCACCCTTTCAAATGGATCGCTTGGCTTTCCTCCTTGCAATTCTTATTCTCTTGCCCATTAAAGCCTTGAAAAAGAAAAATGAAAACTGTGACAAGAATAAGGGAACAATCAAAATTTTTCTTCTGAAATTTAGCCAAATCAGTCATCACTGTTTTGTTGACAAACACGAAGAGTCCAAACTAAGATTATAGCAAAGTCCCATTTCCAAGTGTATCCTTAATGATCCTCATATAATAGGATTGGACCACAATTGTGATCTAATCTTTGACCTGGAACAATTCTTTGGTGCCACAAACTCCCGAAGTGCATTGTACACTCTATCATGCTGGGCCAGCAACATACCCAGCACCTCCCAACTTCAATAAAACTCTCATCTCCACTTGTCTGCAAAACAGAATCTTTGAAAGTCAAAGGGAATTTCTGGATGGCAATAGCTCGCCACCCTCAACTTAGGCGGATGCCAAATTTGGCATATAAGTGGGCATATCTCTAAGAAGGAAACTCTTAGAGATCAACTGGTCCGTTATAGCAGCTCAGGGCCATCAGGAACCCAGTGACCAGGTTCAGGAGGGAATACCGAATCCTGATAGCCAGAACCTGGCTCAAGAGAGACCACAACATCCCTGCATAGAGCCTGTCCCTCCGAGTCTTTCTAATGTTTTCTATGAAACGAGTATTGTGTATTTTATGTGCAGAAAGTATTTTTTTTAAAAAAAAATCTTTATGTAAAAAGCCAGGCTATGCAGTTTTCCAATTTCCAGTTCACCTGTGGTCAATTCAATTGATTGAACCTGGAAAGACACACAGCTCTCCATAAATGGCCTCACAGCTAAGAATGCATATGGTAGCAGACCAAAAGCCATGAGGTCAAAGCAACTGCCTGCAGAGCTCAGAGATAGGATTATTGCAAAGAAACAGATCTAGGGAAGGCTACCATAAAATTTTTGCTGCACTGAAAGGTTCTTAAGAGCAAAATGGACTCCATAATTCTCAAATGGAAGATGTTTGGCACAATCAGGACTCTTCCAAGAGCTGGTTGCCCACTCAAACTGAGCAATTAGGATAGAAGGGCCTCAGTAAGAGAGGTGACCAAGAAATCGATTGAGCTCCAGACAGCAGAAGTAGTCTGCAGTGCTGCATTCTAACCATTGCGCCACCACGGTTCATGAAAGTCCTAGTGGCCCAGCCTGAGTTGAACCTTATTTAACATCTCTGGAGGGACCTGAAAATGGCTGTCCACCAACAATTGCCATGCAATCTGACTTAGCCTGAGCGGATTTGCTAGCAAGAATGTCAGAAAATCCCCCAATCCAGGTGTGCAAAGCTTGTAGTGTCATACCCAAAAAGACATGATTCTACATGCTTGCCAACGGTGCTTCAACAAACTATTGAGTGAAAAGATCTGAATACTTATGCCAATGTGATATTTCAGTTTTTTTCTTTTTACTAAATTTATAGACATTTCTAAAATTTTGTTTTCACTTTATCATTATCGGATACTGAGTGTAGATAAATGAGAAATAAGTGAATTTCAACAACTGTAGAATCAGGCTGCACCATAGCAAAACTCTACAAAGTGAAGAGGTTATGAATGCTTTCTGAACGCACTGTAAATGAATGATTTTTTTTCCAGAAGTAACATTCAAGCCCTTTCTCCATGTTCCTGAGCACAGACAGTGGTTCTTACCCAGAGAAAGGAGATTCCTGGAATTCTCCAGCATGACTTCTCTGTAGAGCTCTTTTTGGTCAGCATCCAGTTGAGACCACTCTTCTTCCGAGAAATACATGGCCACTTCCTCAAAAGAAACAACATCCTGGATAAGGAAACAAGTTTCCTTATTAACAGATAATCCGAAGAAAAATGGGATAATTTTCTTCCACCAATTCTAGGACAAAGATCACGTGAACAAAATGGGCATCGTCTGCAGAATTCAGAATGAGATCTCACCGCTTTTGGCTGATGGCATAACTAAATCATGTTTGATGAAGCTGGAAGTGTTTGGAATGCCTTACGGTTTAACCAACTAAAATATTCTTGCTCAATTGGTAGTTGGGTTTTAAATCCACTACTTATTAATGACTCCGTTTCTTCCTAGAATAGACAGAGCAAAATACTGGCAAAACCCAACTGATATGTTTTCCAAAGGCTCATTTTATCCACTGAAGGATCAACGTACCCCAACTCCAAACCTTCATGAACGAAATGGAAGAGCTTGTAATAGTACTCTGTATGTCTATCGAGATTCTCAATCACCAGGTCACATTTGTCCCAAAGATGCTTTTCAAAAGGCAAAAAAGAGTATTTTTTTTAATGGTCTGTGTGAACAACCATGGGGGACAGAAGGAACAGCCCTGATGCTGACAACAGTCTAGTCAATGAAATCTGATGGTGAAGCAGGAGGGGTGGAGAAAGCGACTCACAAAGGATCCGCTCAGAAGGGAGAGGGAAGGCTAAGCTGAATGTGACTGTTCAATGACCTGATGTCAAATTTGTATTGCTTAGAAACAACAAATGTATACATTGAATGCTAGAACAAAATGAAATCCATCCAAGATTTATGGACCTTTCCCATGTTTCTTCTCCTTATCTGAAGTGGTGATTCAGCTAATCCTTCAGCTCCAGCACAAAGAGGTGATTCTAAAAAGTCCAAGGACAGCTGTCTACTCTCTATGAGAAAGAGAAAAATAGTGGAATCAAATTTGTTAAAGAGAGAAACTCCAATGAAATGGAGCAAAAGAATCAGCTAAATGTTGAAATCTCACCTCACATAGAAATAACTTTTCTTACCTTGCATAGCATCTTGATTTTGATCTTTCTGTAAATTCTCCATGAAGAGCAGCTCTTGAGAAGCTTTGAATGAATCTTTCCCCTCATTAGAATACTCAGTCATAGTTTCCACGTATTTCTGGACATGATGTGACATGAGAAACAAAGGAAGAGCACAGAGATAGAAATGAATTATCATACTACATCTTCAAACTAGCAGATCCCAACGTCCATTGTTGAAAAAAAATGGAAGAATTACCCCAAATACATCCTCTGGAAGAATAGAACAAATGCCCTTAGGAATTAATAATCCCAGAAAATTCTGCCAAAAAGGAGTTGTCAAATTCAAAGAGATCCTCTTTAGAACTGCCCTGATTCCATTCTCCCACCTGCAACTCTTCCTGCATGTTTTCCTCCTCCTGAGTCAGCAAGAAGCCTTCAGCCAGGGACACCGCCTGGGAACTGGTCTCTGCTCCACACTCCCGCACCCATCTTGCCATCTCTGGGGGAAAGACAGCCAGCAATTGTTCCAGGAGCACCAGGTCCAGCATCTGAGCCTTGGTGTGTTTTTCTGGTTGCAGCCACTGACAGCAAAGATAGTGAAGCTGAGTGCAAACATCTCGGGGATGGCTCCCCTCCTGAAACTGCACTTTTGTGAAGTGACAGCATTGGGCCTCTGAAGTGTTGGATGCCTCTTCGTGGCTCTTCTGCCCAGGACTTGCCCCATTCTTCCCACAGCTCCAAGGCTGAGCAGTTGGAAGGCCTTTTCTAACTTCTGCATCTGCTGGGTGTTGTCCCTCCATCTTCTGTCTAATCTTCAATACAGCTCCAAAATGCACCCATGGATCTCCACAGGTCTTTCTGTTCACAAGAGGTCTGGCCAAATTTTCCAAGGCCATTCAGCTCTCTTCCCAGACAAGATACTTAAGATTCCAGAAGAACCAGAAAAAAATTCCAGCTTAATCAAAAACAAAATCAAAGATTTATTGGAGAAAAACATGAAAATAAAAAAAAAAGTGGTTGCAAGCGCGGCCTCTTAGACTCTTCCTAAATGGATTGAGTTCAGAGCACAAAAAGCAGTTTTCAAGCTATACATTTTATACACCTTCACAATGCACGCCAGGAGCCCTCCCAACTCCCCCTTATTCTCTTAAATGCATCCTTTAAGTTGTTTTACACTTTAAAAGGGTTTTCTTGACAATTTCCCTCCATCTCTGATGTTCCTGCCTCCTGATAGCTTTTTGCCGGAAGGCTTAAGTTCCTGTTTCCTGAAGACCTCTTAGCAAGTCATAATGCATTTTCTCCGCTAATTACCATTTGTGGTCACTTTACATAGTCAGAAAACAGCAGACAGATAATCTCACACTTTACTATTTATAAAAGAATAAACTTTATTTATTTCCTTTAAGGGATATTAATGTCTATCAAAATATTGGAAAAATACATTTAAATATGTTTTTGATTTCTAATTCCTAGTTTTTATTAAAATTTAATTTTTTATTTTTATGTCTTCTGTATTAGCATTACTATAAATTACTCTAGGCAGCAATTATACATAATGCTCCTTCTTACTATTTCCCCCACAACAGCCCTGTGAAGTAGATTGGGCTGAGAGTTGGGATGGGCTCAAGGCTTTCATGCCAAAGGTTGGACTAGAAAGTTAATCTCCTGCTTTCAAAGCCTTGTGCTTCCATCACTGAACCAAATGGCTCTCTCTGGCGAACTATAATTTTATCATTTCTATGGCTTCATAGTTAAGAGCAACCATTTGCACAATTCAAATCATAAACGTCCCAGGTCACAAATAGCAATGGACATGAGGGGCTCCGTAAATCCACTTAATAAGTAAGTAAATAAACAATGGATTGCAACATCCAGGCTTTACAAAGGCGAAACTTGACAAAAATACTGGCCTATTCTGGGACATAGTGACAATGAGGCATCTTCCTTCTTTACCTGCAGGCAGAGGCAGCTGGTGACTGGGGGGAAAGGCGGGAAAGCAGGAAACAGTCCCGGGAAAAAGTCTGACTTGGAGGCAGAAATCTCTGTTTTGCAAAGGCGACCTCTCCTCCTCTCCCTCCCGTGCAGAGGTTTTCCCATCCAAATGGAGGGTAAATAAATGGCTCCCTCCTTTCTGAGGCCCTGGCTTTCTTCTCTCTAGTCTAAGGGCAACGGGAAGGATCCGAAGCTTTGCTTTCTCCCCTGCCTGGCCTGTGCATGCATAGGGGCGGCAGGGGAACATGGGACCACTGCTCCCCCCACCCCCCACCTCCATCCCAGGACTCCGAATCTGGTGCAAGTTTTGCATGTCTCCATGCGAGTCTCCATCACTGAACCCCCAACTCACGTCTGGGTCTCGGACGGTGCAAGAATTCCCTGCAGCCTCTTCCCGTCGCTAGAAAGGCTCACCCGAAAGTTCACAGCGAGGGTGGGAAGAAGAATCGGAGACCGTGGAAAGAGCGGAGAAGCTCTCAAGCCTCTGCTGGAAAATGCCTCGGGAACCACGCAGCTCCCCTGAGTTGAGAAAGAGGCCGGCGCATGCTCAGTTCTCCTGTAACGGGGGGGGGAGGGAGGGAGCTTCACCGCTTTTCCAGGGAGCCCCCTAGAGGATCCTTTGCGCATTGCATGATGACCCTGCAAGGGCGCAGGACGTCATGTTCCATGCGGGTCTGGGATGATGGGCATTAAACTTGAAGGAAAGGTTCCCGCTAACATTGCCTATCTAGAAAGGAAGCGGCCTCTCCAGCAGGCGTCAGTTTCTAGATTTTCCCTCTTTTTAATCTCTAAGAACCACCTGTGATCTTGTGAAGATTGAGAAAATCTCTGTGGAGGCTCAAAATTCCCTTTCCTGAAGAGCAGCTTTTCTGAAGGGTCTCTAGGGATTCCCAGTAGACCTCAAAAATGAGCAAAATCCTGTCAGAAATGGCAGGACGGTCAAAAGACAAGGAAGAAAAGTGTCTCTTTGAAACCCAGCCTGTGTCTTGTGGCTGATGGCAAACTCAGCCTTGAAGTGAGGGGGAGATCAGGGGGCTGGCAGAGACACAGGGAACAAAGCGACCGACCGGTTGAGGAAAATTAAGATTTGTATTGATTTTTCTTTAGTGAGTTCAATTATTACAGCTTCCTTTTCAAATTCATGTCTATGGGCAGTCAAGGAGGGTTAGAAACACCAAAGGCAGTTTATAATGATGTGAATAATCCTGAAGTATAGATCCTGATGAAAAAGAGGCATCAAAAAAAAATTCCCAAAATGGAACGAAAGTTCAAACTTCTGGACCTTTAATTTTTTTTACCCCAAAACAAGCCACCATGATGGAGAAATGAAGATTGGGGGAATAAAGTCTCATATGTGACTAGAGAAAAAGTGGAATTACGAAATGAAGGAAGGCAAACACTGAAAAATATTAATCTCAAATACCACAAGGCAAAGAGAGAGGGGGGGGGGAGGGAGAGATGAATGGTTTTATTTTGGTGTTAAGTAGGGAATACGCCTCAGTAAATTTTAGTAGGAACCTTAAGGCCTTTGGAGTAAAAGAATGTTTTTTTCTAGTCAAATGTAATGAAGATTTCACTGGTTTTATAAAGTGGTGCTAATACTTCATGATTTTTTATTCTGTGCCTCTGTTTATGCAACCAAGGATTTTTTGATTGCTGCCACACATTGCTGCCTGATTGTCCAACAGGACTTCAAGGTTCTTCTCACAGTTACTGTTTTTGAGCTAGGTTTCACCTAATCTATACTTGTACATATTGGCTTTTTTTTTTTTCTTAAGTGTAAACCCTTCTCTCCACATTGAATTTCATTTTCTTGGATAAGGCCCATAGTTCATGTTTGTCAAGATCTTTTTGGATTCTGAACATGTCTTGTGGTTTTTTTCCTGCCAGCTTAGTGTCATCTGCAAATTTGATGAGTTCCCCTTCTATTCCCTCATCTAAGTCCTTTATGAAGATATTGATGAATACTGGGCCTAAGACAGAAGCTACTAATTTAGCCACTTTGTCAAAGAATAAAATCATTGTTTTGGCACAATCATTTAAACAAACCCATGCTGGATTTCTGTAATTTGCGAGTAGGATGATCTACACATTCCAGACTCAGTTCTTCCAACCTCTGTCTATTTGAAGATGGTGACTATCAAGGTGCTAGTCACCATCTTCAAAGCGCTCCATGGCTTAGGACCGGGGTACTTACAAGGATCGCCTTCTGCCACCAAATATCTCCCACCGTCCGATACGCTCTCACAGAGAGGGCCTCTTCAGGGTGCCGTCGGCCAGACAATGTTGGTGGTGACCCCCAGGGGGAGAGCCTTCTCTGTGGGGGCTCCTGCCCTATGGAATGAACTGCCCCCGGATATAAAAGGATTCCCGACCTCCGCGCCTTCCGTTGGGCTCTGAAGACTCTTTTGTTTCATCAAGCCGGCCTGACTGAATAGATAAATTTTAAAGGGGTTTTAAATTGGTTTTTAAGGGGTTTTAGTAAGGGGTTTTAAATAAAGGCCAAATTGTTTTAAATTCTTTTAATAGTTTTAATTTTTGTGTTGGGTTATTTTAATATGGCTGTAAACCGCCCTGAGTCCTTCGGGAGAAGGGCGGTATAGAAATGTCATAAACTAAACTAAACTAACTATCTATTTGTCAGGAGAAACTGAAGTTAGTTTCTGAATATAACCCCAGGGCAGTACAACAGGCAATAATTTGAACCAGTTGTCAAGCATTTGATCACATATTCATGGTGATGGTGCAGAGCAGGGGTGTCAAACTCTATTTTATTGAGGGCCACATCAGCATTAGGGTTGCCCTCAAAGGGCTAGTTGCATGTAAGACTATGACAATTCACAGAGGCCGGGTGGGCATGGTCAGTTCGATACTACTCACAGGCCGCAACTGACTTGGGACAGCTGGGTCGGGATGGAATAAGTTGCACTGGTGAACTCAAGGTGGGGAAAATTTGGTGCCTTCTGTCTGTGTGTGTGTCTGTTCACTTGCACAGCATGCCGAAGGAGATGTTCTTTCCAATCTCAGACATCGTTGGGGTTTGTTTCCCTGTCTGGTACCCCCTCCCTCCAAAGCAAGAAGCGGAGGACGACTCTGCTGAGTGTGGAAGAACTGGAGGAGAAAGTTTGCAGGGAGCAGTTTCCTCCGAGTCCAACTTCTGCCTTGACAGATCTCTGGAGAGCAAGAGGAGGTGGCAGGGGAGCAGCACTCCTCGGTCCTGCAGGAGGGAGGCTGGCCTTTTTCGAAAGGAAATCCTTGTTTCCAGGCGTGTGTGGTAAAGATGCTGGCTTGTTGGGGCAGCCTTCCCTCATGCAACTCCCCAGCCACTCTTCCTCCTCTCCAGAGATCTGTCAAGGCAAAAGTTAGACCTGGAGGAAACTGCTTCCTACAAACTTTCTCCACCGTGCTTCCACATCAGCAGCAGCATCCTCCACCTCCGGGGGGAGTGCAGGCAAGGCTGGGAGGGGGGATCCAGAGGTCTCCAGCAGAGGAAGGTGAAACCACCACAAAAACAAAGCCTCGTCCACCACAGAAGCCTCACCATGCTTCTCAGGCCACATGGGAGGATCACTGGATGGTGGCAATGACCATCCAGAGCCCTGGGCAATGGAGGGCAAGCACCCAGCTCAGCCAGCTTTCCCAAGGGGGTACTTGGCCGCGCTTATCTTCTCCTCGAGGTTGCTGCTGCTGTGCTCACTCTTCCTGGCCAGGTTGCTCATAGTGGGTGTGGGAGGGCAAAGTCTGTGAGTCAGAGGGAGGCCCACTTCCTTTCCATGCAAGGAGGCACGGCTTTGTAAGCAAAGCATCCTCACTGTTAGATGGGAGATGGAAATGTGATAATTGCATTTGGTATTTTGGAATATTTGAAACAATATAATGAAAAACACTCAAGAATATTTCTACATGTAGAAAAAGACTTTGTCTATTTGGACTTAGCAAAAACCACGGTGTTCAGGTCTCCACTAGAAAGGAAATTTATGCATACGTATCTAAGAAGGTCTACAATTTATTTGGATTATAACTCAAATGGTCCTTGCATGAGATTTGAGACAACTATAGGTAGTCCTCGATTTTCTACAGTTCATATAATGATTATTCAAAGTTATAGAAGCACTGAAAAACATGATTTCTGAATATTTTTCACACTTATGAACAACATCCCGAAGGTCACCTGATCCAATTTCAGATGCATGGCAACTGATTCATGACAGCTGCAGAATCCCTGGATCATGTGATTATCTTTTGTGAGCTTCCAACAAGCAAAACCAATGGGGAACACAACAGTGTTACTAACTTAACAATTACAGTGATTCAGTTAAGAAATATGGCAAGAAAACTTGTAATATGGGACAAAACACAGTAAGTCTCTCACTTAGCAACAGAAATTTTGGGCTCAATTGAGTCATAAAGTGAGGACTACCTGGATTTCTCTTGGGAGTTCTACACACACTTCCTTTATTGATATGGTTTCTGCCATGTGTGATTCCTCTATGGCGAGTAAGAGCATTACTCCTTACAAATTCCTTCGATGATTTATAAAAGACTTAGAATAACAGAAGGTCTTTCCACACTCCATGCATTGATACGGTTTTCTCTCCTGTGTGGATCCTCTTGTGAGTATTAAGATTACCACTCTTCCTAAAACTCTTTCCACACTCCATACGATATGGCTTCTCTCCTGTGTGGATCAAATTGTGGGATTTCACACCACTGCTACATCTGAAGGGTTTTCCACACTCCATGCATTTATAAGGACTTTCTCCTTTGTGATTCCTCTGATGGATTCTAAGTCTTATAATAACAGAAGGTCTCATCACACTCCATGCATTGATACGGTTTCTCTCCTGTATGGATCCGCTTGTGGATATTAAGATGAGAGTTACGAGTAAATATCTTTCCACACTCCATGCATTGATACGGTTTCTCTCCTGTGTGGATCCTCTTGTGGGTATTAAAATTACTGCTACGAGTAAATGTCTTTCCACACTCCATGCATTGATATGGCTTCTCTCCTGTGTTGATCCTCTTGTGGGAATTAAGATGATAGCTACGCGTAAACGTCTTTCCACACTACATGCATTTATAAGTTCTTTCTCCTGTGTGATTCCTTCGATGATTTATAAAAGACTTAGAATAACAGAAGGTCTTTCCACACTCCATGCATTGATATGGTTTTCTCTCCTGTGTGGATCCTCTTGTGAGTATTAAGATTACCACTCTTCCTAAAACTCTTTCCACACTCCATACGATATGGCTTCTCTCCTGTGTGGATCAAATTGTGGGATTTCACACCACTGCTACATCTGAAGGGTTTTCCACACTCCATGCATTTATAAGGACTTTCTCCTTTGTGATTCCTCTGATGGATTCTAAGTCTTATAATAACAGAAGGTTTCATCACACTCCATGCATTGATACGGTTTCTCTCCTGTATGGATCCGCTTGTGGATATTAAGATGAGAGTTACGAGTAAATATCTTTCCACACTCCATGCATTGATACGGTTTCTCTCCTGTGTGGATCCTCTTGTGGGTATTAAAATTACTGCTACGAGT